TATTTATAATTTCAGTTAATTCTCAATATTGGAAAACAATCAACGGATTCCATTAAAGGACAAATTTTAAACTCTTAAAAATTATGACTTTTCACTAAAAAATTGAGGAATTTTCGTACTGGTAAACCAACAGTTACTGTCTGTGTTTAGATTCTTTGGGTCTGTTCTGTTTGTAAACAGCTTTGATGTTCCCTAGCAATATACACCCAATACTTTTTGAGCTCTTTTCTTATTCCTATGAGCTTAAAAGATAATTATACCTTAGAATATGAATGTCAGTTATTTAGTATTTGATTATGTATTGCTGATTATTGAGTTACGTGATCTTATAAGAAACTGATTTCCTCTAAATAGTTTACAGATTAATCATATTAAAAATCCAATAGGAACTAGCAATGTTTTGAACAGCAATAAAATAAATTACAGTAAAATATTACTAGTTAATCAGCAAACCAACTCATGAAAATAATTGCGGACCTCATGTTATAAACAAATGAAGTTGAAGACGTCTTGCTACTTATTAGTAAATAAGTAGGTTTTATTATATGCAAAAACATCTAGATGTTTACTTTATGCAAATTAATTTATTAGCGATGGTCTGATCAAATTCAAAACCGATCAACTGAAGTCTTGAATATTAAAAACAGTAAATTACAAACCCTTACTAGTGCCTTCATCCAACTTGAAAAGATTAGTAGCTATCTGGACTCAGTAACTCAGTGGACAACTTGGTTATCGTTTGAAAGTGAAATATACTGGGTTCAAGTCTCTGAGAATACCAACACTGAGATGCAAGTAAGAGCGACTAAAGACGAGTCGTAAATGCAAATAAACGTGTATCCTAGATTCCACTGCTGGACACATATCAACTATGCTAAAGTTAAGGATATATTTAAGTGGGATTGTTGCCCCACTATGGATGCATCGGGCCCAAAAACCGCCTCAATGATAAGCAACATTTGTAGCGTCGAATGGGAATAAACTTTTTATTGTTGATGGTGTAATCTACAAAATTTTCTAAAGGATAGTTTTTAGTGCCCTCGACTTAAAATCTATGTAAACCTACACCAAATAAACAGTGCTAACTAGATTTTATTGTGCAGCAACAAATTATTTTGCACTATCGAAGTTTTATTTAGGGTACATGGGTTGAAATATGTAAATTCAATGATTCTACACTCAAATCTATTTCGTGTTAACTAAAGATGAAATAGAACGTGACCGCATAGGATTAGATGTTATGTTCAAACTTTTAAAAATCTTGATGTCCCAATAAACTCCGCTCTGGATTCTGCAGTCATTTTCAAAATATATTATTTTTATGATTGTTTAAAGATCCCGCATCATATTAAAATACTAATGTATAAACCATGAATAGTCTATTCGATAAATTCTCTTCAGGTTCTACAATCATATATTTAAATTAATAATCCAAAAATTGTCCGGATCTAGGGCAAAGTGTATCGTTTAAGGTTAGGATTGTTAAACAGAAAATTGTTAATGTTGATATGACTCATATGGAATGTTAACTTGAATCAGTTTATAAGTAAAATTTTAAGATCCATGATCCGAATAAATATGGATCGGATAGGGTGAGAGAACTAGTAGTGCAATTACAAATTCGACCAGATGTTTGGTGGGAGACTATAATGTGTAAAAAAATTGGTAAAATAGAATAGTGGAATGAATGGGAAGTAAATGAATCATGCATTTGGTAGATTAATAATGATGTTAAACCAATAATAATAGTAATACAGAGATATGTGAATAAAGATAACCGAGACATGTATTAGCTCTTAAGATGACGGGGATCTTTAAACAATGACAGAGACAATTATATTTGACTATGAAAGGCTAAGACTACTTAAAATATCAACATTAACAATTTTTTTTGCTTAACAATCCTAAATTCACATTTTATAAATTTAAACGAGGTATATTACCCTAAATCTGGCCAATTTCTGGATTATCAATCTGGATATATAATTGTAGTTTTTATTGAAAGTAACTCAGTCTAGGTAAAATTTGCAAAGTCGAGGAAGCCTCGACACTACAGCGTGCCTGAGTAGGTAGTCAATATCATATGGAATTCCTATGATGGATTAAAATGCAAAAGCGTGCATGGAGGACAGTTCATAGACTCGTTTGAAGTAATGACCGGTGTCAGGCAAGGTTCCTTATTCTCACCCTGTCTCTTTCTCCTGGTGATCGACTGGATCATGAAAACGTCAACATCTGGGGGAATCATGGGATACAGTGGACAGCTAGGATGCAGCTGGATGATCTAGACTTCGCAGATGATCTGGCTCTTCTATCGCACACGCAACAACAAATTCAGAAGACGACCAGTGTGGCAGCAGCTTCAGCAGCAGTAGGTCTCAATATACACAAAGGGAAAAGCAAGATTCTCCGATACAACACAGCATGCAACAATCGAATCACACCTGACGGAAAAGCTTTGTAAGATGTACAAACCTTTACATATCTGGGCAGCATCATTGATAAACACAGTGAATCTGATGCAGATGCGAAGGCGTGGATCGGTAAACAAGAGCAGCATATCTACAACTGGAAAACATCTGGAACTCAAAACAATTAGCAACCAACACCAAGGTCAGAATTTTCAATACGAATGCCAAGACAGTTTTACTGTATTGAGCGGAAACTTGGAGAACTACGAACGCCACCATCCAGAATATACAAGTGTTTAATAACAGCTGTCTACGCAAAATATTTCGGATCCGTTGGCCAGACACTATCGGCAACAATCTACTGTGGGAGAGAACAAACCAGACCCCAGTGGAGGAAATCAAGAAGAGCTGGACTGGATAGGACACACATTGAGGAAAGTACCCGAATGCGTCACAAGGCAAGCACTCACATGGAATCTTCAAAGCCAATGGAGAAGAGGAAGACAAAAGAACACATTACGCCGAAAAATGGAGACAAACATAAGAAGAATGAACAAAAACTTGACAGAACTGAAAAGGAAGGCCCAGGATAGAGTGGGTTGGAGAATGTTGGTCGGCGGCCTATGCTCCATTGGGAGTAACAAACGAAAGTAGGTAAGTAAATAAAATTTGCAGTATACTGGGAAACGTCTCTCTATAAGCTGCTAGATTTTGATGAGTTAAGTAATCTAAATGTTGATATTATTTTTAATGTTGTCACATAAACTCCTCTTTTTCACGTTTCCCAACTAATTAAAATCGAAATGGATGAATACATCAGTGATTTAATGTACACAACACTTCTGATTGATATTGATCAAGTCAATTATTTTTATTTAAATCAGGTCATTATCAAACTATTGAAACAGATGATTACAACAAATCAGATTAGATTTTTATTAACACAAATGCTGTTGTATCAATATTTTACCATTCATAATGATGCTAATACATTAAAGCACAATAGTTATTGAGTATTTTTCATATTACTAAATGTAACTTATTCGAAGTGATGAATAAATAAACTATATTGGCTATGATAACATATATTTCATATCTCGCGAAAACCTATGTAGTAGAGGGAATAATAACAAACCGTCTTACTGTCAACTGATTGATATGATCTACGACACTACTACTAAATATATCAAACATTACGGCGAGCAAATTAAAACAATCCCAAACTTAAGACTAATGACCTACTCAATACTCACTAGTTTCCAGGGTTTCTCATGTGAATGAACAGCATTTTAATGATGAAGAAAGAAATTCCCCTAATATTCACTGTTATATCTTACAAAACCATCTGCCATTTGGTTAAAACAATCATAAGACCGACATACTAAACGTTCCCGGTTAGTTGATGCCGATTAAGAGAAATACTTAATTACGAGCATTGAGAGGTTATCCCATTCTGTTTCGTCACGGTCAAGACGTACCTCATGCTAAAACTGCCACAGAGACATATGCCATAATCCTTCGATTTATGACTAAAAGTTATTCTTGATTTATTGATGTTATTTAGCTATACTACAGCTAACGTAAAAAGGGTGATGATGATTTCCTTAGAAACTGGATGCGATGTTGGTAACTAATGATTCCCACTTCTACAGAGAACATTCACCAAAGAGGATCTTCATAAGAAACGTCACCCTAACAAACGTAAACATTCAACACTTGAATGAAACAGGTGTATTAAAATTAGATTACATTTTGACTAGTAAACTGATTGTTTACTATTTCACCATTCAGTTAAATCTATTCCGTTGGAGTTTCGTTCTCTGAGCTGGATGGTTTGGTCGTGGAGCTTTCATCGTTTCTCTGAACGACATCATCAGAACAAACTTCACTTCTACCTGAAGGTACACAACCAAACTATTTAGCTCAGAGAACAAAATTCCACCAAAATCATCCACCTGAGCTACAAATCCCCACCATCTCAGTTAAATCTATCCTAGCACAAAATCCAGGTTACAGATGTATCCTGACTACCTTTATTATAGTATGAAGTTCTGTAAACCTTGATTTACGAATTGATGAGGGGAAACTGATATATAAGAACACCAACACTATTGAAACATTTCACAACATCATAATATTTAAAGAAATAACAATTGTTTTAATAATAATGAAATATATAATTATTTAATAATGACAATACTAAACTTATATCCATACATACTTTTTTTGTAAAATAAATAACTTTAGTAAATTAACGGAACTATATGATAAACAAACAATAGAAGAAAATTACCTGAATTCAATTACCAACTATTAATATCCAACGCTCTTGAAAAAAGCGTAAAAAAAGATGTTTGAACGAGAAAAAGAACAAAAAACGAAAATGCTTTTTTTTCTTTCTTTCAATGTTGTAGATTAAACAGAATATGAAATGAGTGATAATAATAATAATAGCAATAATAATAATAATGATAATAATAATAATAGTAACTGCATGTCTTTTATAATTTGACGAATTCTTTGTTATAGGGAAACTGGGATACGTACTAATTATTTTAAATGCTAATCAAATAGTCCATTCCATTACTATCAATAAACGATTTGTAATGTAAATAGAATTAACAGCTGTAGAATGTGAAAAACTTTCAATGATGATACACCATTCATTTTAGGAGTACTTGTAACTATCTTAGGATTATCTAAAAGAAAGAAAATAAAACAAAGCAAAAACTACCCATGAAATAACTAATTACATGACCAAATGTAGTATGTTTCAAGTACAGTTCATTGTAAACAAAATGTTTAAACAGAAATTACCTCGGATATCATTTCAAATAAATTAAGTCGATTTATTATATTTTTTATAGTAGTTATCTATGCAGTTACATTTTAGTAAAGTAGTGCATCATAGATTGTTTCCGACTTCCCTTTAAATTGATTTCACTGCTCGCTTGGTGTTAAGTAATGGGCAGTCATTAATTCGAACGGAGGAACTTTTAGAACTAGTAAAGTCGTATGGCTCAAGTAAACTTGAGCCGTACGACTTTCAAATGAGTTTAGTTCCGTCGGAAGTTTCAAAAACAATTCTATGTACAAGTAGAACAATAAATGACAGCATAAAATAATCCTATTTTTGTTTCAGATGGATGTACTGTGTAGAGTTTGACTGAAGTGATTTTAAGTCGAAGACAGCTTACTACTGTCGGTCCATCATCTGAAAATGCAGTTTCCATGTAAGCTTTTATGAGTTTTACTCAAATCTATTTGATCATACCTTATACAGATAACAAGAGGAGCTAGCTATGAAATTACAAGCTATGTATTAAAGCATAATCAGTAACTAAAAGAACCAAACTGGAAGGATTATACTGTCAAAAAAGTGATTAGAATAGAAGTGAACTAAAATAACGCAATGTAAAAAAATCGGTACAGTCTCATAAAAACTGTTAATTCCCATTAAGTTAAACACAATGCTGCTTCATCTAAAGCCCCAACATAATCGCGTAAAAACTTCCATCTCTACACTACAGTTTTTGTGAATATTTCCAAAAATCAATAATATCAAAAAGTATCAATCTGAACTATTTGATGAAATTCAGACTAAGAATTCTCATACATCGTATGAACGTATAAATTTAAAAGCACCGAAACTTTGATAATTCAATTGGTTTTTATACGACATTAGGTGATGATCGCTGCTAAATTCAGATGTTTCAACACATGCTGAATAGGTCTTATTACTGATGGAACATACCAGTTATACACATTATTGAAAATATTGTTAATGTTATCTATAATTCTACTTCAAGACTCCAAAAAGAAGTGGATGAGCAATTAATCTCAAGTTTACACAATGTAGAAAATCCTAAACTACTTTTTTATGAAAAATGTTTGGTAATTCTAAGTATATTTTTAAGCATTATTTTAAAAACCGATGAAGACTATAAACCAATATTTCATAAAACAGACTGACTTAACTTTACAACTCATGAAGATTTCTAGCATTTAATTATTCATCTACATATTTTGAACTTGACGGACCAGGAAAAAAAGTAGCAAGAAGGTACTGAGTATATTTATGGTTTACATTAAACTCAAGGAGCAGCTCTATTAGAGGAAGATTTTTGAAGTCAATATGGATACCGAGGAAATGTCAAATTACGGAAATAACGATAATGGCTTCGTTTCTAGGTTAAATACAGCGGTAGACACTTTCACATAGGATATTTCGGCATCCATGGCGTAGAGAAATCCTCTGTCCACAAAGCCCACGATAAAATAAATATAAATGGCAGACAACCTGTATGTATGAAAGCCCTAAGATAGTAAGAATATCGTAAGTCAACCACTATACTATCACACTTAGTACTCCAAAAATATCTAGGGACTTTATTTACCATTGGTTCAAGATATCAACTAACCATTTCAACGAAATTAAAATGTCTTACCTCAGAAGCTATAACATCTACACTTCTAGACACAGTTTCGAATAAATAAAAACAGCTTGACGAGAATTATCTTTCAACAATTACTTATAGATTATTATGACCAGTTTGAATACGAGTTGCTAAGATACCGAAAGTTGTAATTGAGTCTATTAACCCAAACGAGTACAAAACTAACTCCCAGTAAGATACATATTATGGACAAAATAGCGAAGATTACTACCATATTAGTTATTTACTCGCTAATAATTAGTAATGAACCCATAAATGTCACCTCAAGACATACAAAATTTAATCTAGCCAGTCAGCCCTAGGATATGGAATCAGCATAACAATTAATAATGACATCGTAAGAAAATTGAAATCATCTAGTCATAAATCGTGATGAATAGGGGACAAACCACAACAAAAAAATCGTGCATAATACAACACTACAAGAGCATCTAACCTGTTATAATAACTGTGGTTCGGTGTTTTTCCTGTCCACTTTCCGTGCTCGAAGACACAATTTCTGTGGTACTTGTCTCACTTTCTTGAAGGGTAGTCATTAGACTGACCGAGGACTCTGACTCCGTTGTTCTTACATCCAAATACTCCTGTCCAACCACATTGGCAATTACAGATTTGTTATTTTGTCGTGCAACACTAGACTCTGTATTAGAGGACTCAGACGAAACATTGTCAGAACTTAATGACGTGTCCCCAGTCCCTTCCGATCCCACTGGAGTAGAGGTGCCAGTTTTGCCAGTAACATCAGCAGTCTCTGTCGTAGCTGAAGGGTTCGTTTGTGTGAAAGTTGTGGATGATAATGTTGTATCGCTAAGGTTATCAGTTGACTCAGTTGATGTAGAACTAGTAGATGAATAATTTGCATTTCCGGTTGTTAAAATGAAATTCATGAAAATAGCGTAGAAAATAAAATGGTTCATGTACACTCCACTATTACAATAAAATAACTTTCGACTATACATCCTAATAGTTCACAATGATGTAATTAATTTAACCAAAGTGAATTGAAAACTATAAAAAATCAACAACAGTTTTAATGTTCAATTTCAAAATGAATGATTAATTGATTTATGTTCGTTGATCCACAGCCCAATTTTCAAATCTGCCCATATAGATAGTTTGATCGATTGATATATTTCTATAGTATAGCACAAACTAATAATTTGATTGGTTTATGAAATGTCTTCTATAATTCATGATGATGATGAGTGGGCAAATCAGAATACTCAAATAATATTCGGACTTATATTCAATCAAGGTCTAAATTCGAGTATGACAAATGCATGTGACACAGTATATTATTTAAATACAAAAACAAGAACAAGCCCCAATTCCAAAACGAGGAGCTACTACTATAAGCGGCTTGATAATTGTAGCTTATTTTTCTTATGTTATTACTTGGAATTTTGTGCTAAATAACTCTGAATTTAAGAGTAAGAATTTAGGCACAACTGCATATATATTTCACACACACACAATAAATGTGGTCGGTATAGTGATATATTTTATTTTAGCAGTTGTAAGCATTTGAAAGCCATCTGAAATAAATGAACTATTGCTTCAAGTATCGTTTTTAGAGTAAACATTGACAGTCCCTAGTATCTTGTGTTATTCAACTTATGAGATGAAGTCTCCATATAACATTTAAACAGGATATAATTCTATGGGGAGAAGAGATTGTGGTTGTAATCTATAAGTAATAAAGTTGATTCTAACTGACTTTATCGTGGGTCATATCTGAACTATACAATACCAAATGCATTAAAACGTACATATTTGGTGTTAAGATAAAATAAAAATAATCGGCAATACTTTCAACAATCAACAGAATTGTTATTTATATTACTTCCTAAATTACTATTCTTAGGCTTGAACATAACGTCAGTTTCCTGATAATCATTAACCCGAGATTTTTAGAAATTGTCGTGGTGTATAACCATCTAGTCACAATGGAGAACTATCTTTTAGATTCCTAAGCATCGAAACAATAAGAAACCTTTAAAAGGAAAAATATGGTCATGAGTTTGAATCTCGCTAGGACGGATCATGGATGCGCACTGCCGTAGAGTCCCATAATAGGACGAAACGACCGTCTAGTGCTTCCAGGTTTTCGATGGTGGGCTAGCTTTGATTAACTCATGATCTCAACTATTGAATAAATGTGAGTTAGAAAGCAACTACTCACAGATCTACAAGCAACTTTTATTTATTAATTACAATGGGTATCGGTGACATGATTGGACTTGATAGTTTCAAACAAATTGAGTACCAAGATACTACAAATATATTGTTTTTGATTGAGATCATGAACCGATTGATGTTAGACCACCATTAAAAACCTGGAAGCACTGGACGGCCGTTTCGTCATATTGTGGGACTTCTCAGCAGTGCGCATCCACGATCCCGCTCGCTGGATTCGAACCCAAGGGTCTTCAGTCTCGCGCGCGAACGCTTAACCTACTCGACCACTGAGCCGACATCTAGCGGTGTTAATGTCTAACCTCAGCCAATCCACGAAGTTGCGCGACCATCTTCCATTGTCTCGTGTTCGCGCTCGAGACTGAAGGCCCTGGGTTCGAATCTCGCGAGCGGGATCGTGGATGCGCACTGCTGAGAAGTCCCACAATATGACGAAACGGCCGTCCAGTGCTCCCAGGTTTTTAATGGTGGTCTAACATCAATCGGTTCATGATCTCAATCAAAAACTTGACAATCTCCACAACACCTAAATTGATATATTGTTTTTATTAATTTTTACTCAATGCTCAATTGTTCTGAAATTATCAAGTCAAACCTTGGTTATAACACCTACAAACTCATTAATAATTGGGTAGAAAGTTATTGATAAATATATTTACTGTTATGTCTCAAGTACCATTTATTTACTCTAAAGAATTAGCTTACATTAAGTCAAGAAACATCAAAAATGCAATTTTTCTACTCATTGGGATATAACAAAAATAAATATTTATTATTCATTACAATGTTTGATACTCAATACCCTCAAAATATTATAAATTGATGGGAAATAACTTTAAATGTGATGTTGAATCTACGTTCTGATTCTATGAGAATCTATCAGTAAAAATAGTTTAAGTCGATGTTGTAATTTATGTTATAGACGATTAGCAAAATTTAAAGTAAAACAAAATTGACTTGTTAGTTCAGTGGATGAAAGTATAACACTACTAAATGCTAACTTATGATGAATAATAAACTAAACATCCATTACAATCGACACTGATGAATTTCACTGGACATGGGTTACCATTAGAATGCTGGAAATTTCCTATCAAAGCTATACTGTGGTGGAAAGGTCATAGATGTCCACTGTTGAGAAGTCCCATACTAGGACAAAACAAATGTCTATATATATATATATATATATATATATATATATATATATATATATATATATATATATATATATATATATATATATATATACTAGCTAGCTTCGAGAAGAAATTTCAACAGTTCTAATGAAAAGCCATGGTCAATGGAGTTCAACTGTGTCTAATGTGAGGAAAGTACCCAACGAAAATAATATTCAATATATATAAAATAAAATATCGGTATATCTATTATATTGACTTGATAGTTATGATCATTCATTAACAAATATACCTTATGAAGTCAGTGGGATTCATGATGTCTATGAAATTGGTGGGTCGGAACTATTTCAAAAAGACGAGATAGTTTATAACAGCTCACATATATTTGAGTTTGTTCACATTTAATTTAGCTAAGCCCTTTTGTTAAATTATTTAACGGACAGAGTCATCCGTACAATAACAACTTATCTTATATCATTGTACCTTTATTATTGTTACACTTGTATGAATATGTATGCTCGAGCATTGCTTACTGCTACGCATATATTCATTCTGCTAGCCTTACTTTTTAGTCGCTTAATTAATTCGATGATTCATTCATTTCACCATGTATATGTAGGTACATTTTAATCCTCTTAATGAACTCGCTCACACACTCGCTTGCCTACTTGCTTTTCGGCACTACTCTTTCGTGCTTACTTATCGTACCCGTAAATTTGGTCATCTGTGTATGGTGCAATAATAAACTTAATCAACGATTCGTATTCGCCTTTTGATTAATACACCGCTGGGGCATTATCTAATGACGCTTATCAGGACGAACTATATATGAAGTTTATGGATTATATTGAATACCGACCACAAGTTCCTCTTTCCTTTTCAAACCAAAACGATCAAACATATTAATGTTGGATTTCATTTAAATAATGAACAGATCAACGTTAGATCATTATTGAAAACCTGAAAATAATACACGGCTGTTTCGTCTTAGTACGGAACTCTTCAGCAGTGCGCATCCACGATCCCGCACGCGAGATTTGAACCCAAGACATTCGGTCTCGCGCATAATCCCTTAACCTCCAGTCCCCTGAGCTGGTATTCAGCGGTGTTAATGTCTAACTTCAACCAGTCCACGATATCTCGCGACCATCTTCCAGGAGTGTTGAATTTTACTGTGACGATCGAATACTTTGGTACAAAGTACAAGATCATTGCCTATCGTACTTTTTGTGCTCAACAAATCCTTCCATGGTGATTTTATAAGACATTGACCTTTTGGTTAGGTCTCACTCTTGATTTTCACAATCATAAATTTCATTCTGATTTTAGTACATATTCTTGTTTATTAATAATTTTGGTTTCTGTATCCTACTATTATTCCATTCTAATGTTTACTTGTTTTATATTTCATTTGACTTAATTTAGGTCATTTTCTTAAAGTCAATTTTGATTTACTTTATATAATTCACTGGTTTCAATAAGATTTGTCAGTTATCTTTGGTTGTTTATTTACAGGACATTATCGCTTAATTTTTCTTACTGTTAACACTTTCAATGTGAAATATTTACTCTCAACTTTTAACTATATTTCTTATTATTAGATTTTGTTTATGAAAGCTTTTAGAAGTTTGTTTTTTATTTAACTGTAAAGGTTTGTTCAGGTATTTTCAATATATTTAACACATAACTGTTTGAGATTATGGAGAACCATTTGTGGAGAAATTCAAACACTTCGCTTCTACCTGAAGTTTGTGTTGATGATGTCGTTCAGAATAACGACGAAAGCTCCACGACCAAATCATCCAGTTCAGAGAACAAAACTCCACCAAAAACATAATTGTTTCTACATGAATATTATCGTAGATATTGTCAAACAATTGTGTTTTCAATATTCAACTAAGCTGTATACACATAGTGAGTAGGCACTAGTCACTCTTGGAATTCATTTCATTATCTGATAATAAATAATTTCAGGTCGTAGGTTTTAGCTGTTTGAAAAGACATTATTTCGATTTGGTTTACATTTAGTGATAATTCTTTATGTTATATGTAATATATAAGAAAAATTCTCAAATTTAACCAATGAATAATTAGTTAATACTCAAACTTAATGTTCATTATACGTGCGTTTTACCTACCTCTATCGTCCTTTCATAACTTCCTCTTCAGATAGAAGCTGATTTGTTCTCCGCCAAAAAGGAGTTGTTGCTGATGGTATCTGGTAAACGAATCTGGGGTATCTTGCGTAGACAACTGCTTGTAAATACCTGTACATTTTCGATGATGGTTTTAGTAGTTTCAACTTGATAAAGACCATAATATTCCACAAGGAGCACCTTAAAAGTAATAGTTACTTTATTCAAGACTACAGTTCTGGTAACGGTAAAGGATTCTCTGCATAAAATACAGAGTATTGTTATATAGCATTGTTTGTGTGTGATGATTGGAAGTATTTGGATTATTATACGAACTAGGAATCCCCGAAATAGCGTAATTTAAAACAAACAGAACTAGGTGATCACAAACGAACGTATTATACTTAGATTTCAAGATCA